TCGCAAACGTTGCTACTCGACGACTGTACCTATATATATATATATATTATATCTATATCTATATATATATATATATCTATATCTATATCTATATCTATATCTATATCTATATCTATATCTGTATATATATATATATATAGAAGAAAGCCCTATAGAACCCCACGCATGCTTCTTGGTTCCCAATGCACTAAACCCTAAACCCCAGAGGAGCTGGAGGCCCAGCAGGAGCAGCTCGCTCCCGGCAACTTTGCGCTGAAGCAGATCGCCGATGCACAGATTCAGGTGCGGGGTTTAGATTTATAGGGTTCTTGTAGTGTTGTATAGGGCTTAGAGCTTATAGGCTCTTGTAGTATGTTTTTGTTCAGGGTTTCGGGTTTAGGGTTCTTGTAGCATCTTATAGGGCTAAGGGTTTCGATCTTTATAGGGTTCTTGTAGTGTTTTATGGGGTTAGGGTTTGGGCATGTTTGGGGTTCTTGCATTTTTCAGGGCTTGGGTTAAAGGTTCATATAGGGTGTTGCATTTAGGGTTTGGGTTCTTGTAGACTTGTAGAGCCTCCCTGATAGGAACCCTAAAACCCTAAACCCTCCCTTACATCCCTTACAGAAACCCTTAAACCCTTAACCCTGAAGCCTTACCTAAAGGAACCCTTAAACCCCTAATTAAACCCTAAACCCTGGCGCCCTAAACCCTCAACCCTCAAACCCTAAAACCCCTAAACCCTAAACCCCTAAACCCGAAAGCCGCTCTTACAGGAAACCAGGCAGCGAGAGAAGCAGCTGGAGGAGTCCAACCAGGCACCCGGCTTTCGGCTTGGAGAAATGGCTGGATAATGAATAGGTTTTAGGGTTTAGGGCTTAAGTTTAGGGCTAATGTATCGAGGTCGTATAGGTTTTGTCTACTGTTTTCTGCAGTTTGTTGAAGGGCTTTCATACTAGGGAGTTCGAGATTCAGGATTTAGGGTTTACGGTATCGGGTTTTGGGGAGTTTTAGATTCAGGATTTGGCTGCTTGGGGTTTATTATCAGGTATCCAGTGGAACCTGCTCTTCCGGGCTGAACAATGTGCACTGATGATACCGATTGCAGAGTACTTAGGGTTCCCGTGATCCTAGAGGCTCAACTTTTTAGCAGTTGTTTCGGCTTGCTGCCTACAAAATTGCAGTTATCTCATCATCTTCGATCTTCCAAATAGCCCGATTTGAACCGAAGCCGAAGGCACAACTCACTTGTTTTGATTTCGGGAGACCGGAGTGAAGCACTGCTTCGCGGTGGTTCTTTGTGTGTAGGGGTGTTGTTGAATACCGTCTGCAGCTGCGATGCGGGATGAAAGTCCTGAACAACTTAAGGTACTGATACCTGTCATATTGTTTCGTTACATTGTTGAACTTAGTAGGGAAATTGGGTTGTGCGCAGGATTGAAGATTCGGCGGGTAGGGTAGAAAGTTCTCAGCGGATGTTTGGGGTAAAGTAGAGAAGATCTAAGGGAAGATTCGTTGTGTCACATTCCCTAAGCCCGACACCGCCACCCTAGACCATTGCTTCAGAATAGGAGCCTCGACGTTGAACAATTCGGAACATCACTCCGCCATGACTCAAACTCCGAACTCCATGATCACCTGGAAAAGCTCTGACTTAAACTCCCTCTAGACCCTATAAACCCTAATTAATCCCAAACCCTAAACCCTAAGCCCCCTAAACCCTAAACCCTCCCTGAACCCCTAAAGCCCTCAAACCCTGAAGCCCTAAACCGTAGGCCCGAAGCCTTGAACCCTCAGCCTGCCATCTCCCGGCTTAGGCCCTACCCATAGGCTCCATTGTAGTTCCTTTTTGGGCATAGGGTTTAGGGTTTATTGTTTAGGGATACCTTGTAGGATCCTAAGTATAGACCACAAGAATTAAAGGAACTGCAACGGGGCCTATGGGTACTCCTAAACTTACGCAGAGACTTCGCGCGCAGCGGATTTGGTAGAACCTCAGCCCGAAAACTCGAAGGGCAGCACACGACAAAAAAAACGGCCACATCAAAGTTGAGTGTGGGACTTTTTTGTTGTCGTCTATATTCAGGATCCATACGGTATGCCCAGAGAGGAACTACAATGGAGCCTATGGGTAAAGCAACACGACAGTCAGGCGCTGCAGAGTCGATTGGAAGGGCTGCGCGAAGCCCTGGCGCAGCATGGGAAGGCCTGCGTTGCAACGTTTAGGGTTTCCCCCGGACATCCAGGCAGAAAGCTTCGGCTAATATTTTTAGGCTTTGGGGTTAAAGATGTCGGGTTTAGGGGTATTTTGCTGCCCATAAGCTCCATTGTAGTTCCTTTTTGGGATTACCTTATAAGATCTTAAGTATAAACCACGGAAAGGAACTGCAACGGAGCCTACAGGTATTTGACGTGACGTCTTAGGGTCCTCTGCACGTCAACTCCGTAGGCCTGAGATTAGGACCCAGTCTTTCTCGGTAAATTCTGTAAGGCGTACTTGGGGGTCCCCTTTAAGGGGTACTATAGGGTTCTATAGTGGGGTCCCTTTGAGGTCTCGCTGTGCTGTAGCTCTTTACAGGATGGCAAGCCCTGCTTCATTTACTTTTTCGTGAGGCTGGCATGCACCTTAAATAAGGTCCTATGTGAAGAGTTTGAGTATGCTTATAGGTGTAATGCTCCCATTCAAAGTCCAGTTGAGATGATTTCGAGGAGCACTGCGTGATTGAGCATCCTGAGTTCCGCAGCCCGGTGATCTCAACCTGGTTTCCCATCTTCGCCCGTCAGGCTCATGCTTCGTGTATGGGGGATTTCTGGCAAAGAAGTGGCTGCTATAGCACTCGAAGACTTCCAAAATGTGCGGAGCTTGAAGAAGCATTTACAAAGACTCTGCGGGGTTCCACGATTCCGGCAGCGGCTGATGCAGGACGGACGTGTCCTGCACGACGAGGAGGCTTTGCATCCGAACGTCGACCTGCAGCTGCTCCTTCTGGCGTTCCCCAGCACATCGCAGGAGGATGCGAACAAGCTTGTGCAGGCTGCAGCCAGGGGCATTGTGCTTCTGGTGAAGGGCATGCTCGAGTCCCCACAGGATCCAGACCGGAAGGATATCCACGGTTTGACACCATTGACAAAAGCCTGTGAAGGAGGCCACGCCGACGTCGTGCAGTTGCTGATCGAGGCCGGTGCTGACACGGACGTCGCGAACGTAGCGGCTGGACGCCTTTATTGGTCGCGTCGTCCATGAGCCGCGACAGATCTGTCCGGTTGCTCTTGGAGGCGGAGGCAGACACAGACAAAGCTGACCGTACTGGGCGGACGCCTTTGTCATTTGTGTCTGAACTAAACCACGTCGACGTGGTACGCATGCTTTTGGAGGTTGCGGCTGGCATAGATGTAGTCGATTTCCATGGTCGGACCGCTTTGTCTTTCGCCTGTGGCCAAGGCCATGTGGAAGTTGTGCGTCTGATCTTGCAAGCCAAGGCTGAGACAGATTTGGTGAATGGTGATGGCAAGACTGCGCTGTCACTTGCAGCGAAACAAGGCCACGAGGAAGTTGCGCGCATGATTCTGGAGGCGAAAGGTGGGACAGATGCGGGTGTGGGCAGAACTGCATTGTCATTTGCATCTGCCGAAGGCCGAATCGAGATTGTCCGCCTGCTCTTGAGGGCCAAGGCTGATGCGAATGCTGCTAGCGATGACGGCTGGACAGCTTTGTCGTTTGCATCCGGGAGGGGCCAACGCAGCTACAGTGCGTGGCTGGACACCTTTGTTGTTTGGATCTTACGCCGGCCACCTTGCAGCCGTGCGCCTGCTCTTGGAGGCCAAAGCCATGAGAAATGCTACTACGAACGATGGCCGGATAGCTCTATCAATGGCCTCTGACGAAGGCCACGTGGAAATTCAGGAGCTGCTCTGGAAGACCATATCCGGCAGATAGGACCAAGCAGGATGATCCATGCGCGGGTTGTTGAAGGCATGTGTCAGTCTACAATGCGCTTTATTCGAGAAGTTCGCGACAAGTTGACCGTAAGGATGACTGAAAATTGCATGGCACTTCATGCACCGACCCACATGTAGCAGTCATGTCATCTCGTGCTCCAGGCTATCGCTGGTTGGTATTGGATGCAGTGGAAGGATTAGCCTGATGATTGCTGTGTGTTTCTGCTCACCTCAGTCTTCATCGAAAATAATTAATCTGACTGAGAGCACACATGTCTATGAGGCATGTCCGAAGCCCTAAGCCGGTTATCGGTTGCCATCATTGCATCGAGGATTTGCAGTGAGTCCATCTTACTTTTTCGGTTGAAGTAGGACAGTTCAGCTGGTGACCAGGATGGTTTTGGCATGACTTGACTCGGCAATGCATTGAACCCGGACCATATTCAAACTCAGCCGAGTGCCCTGCATCAAGCCCAAACAGAAACAACAGGGCAATATAAGTACGCGAGTCTACTCAGTAAGTTGACGCACTAGGACCCGATCCTTCGTACGGTTTATGCAGACCGGGAAATGAAAACAACTCCTTCGATTCATTCGGGAAGCTCTTTGCTTAGCTTGCTGAGTTACGCCACTCTTTGTTCAATCACTAAACCCTAAACCCTAAACCCTTAAACCGGGTTTAGGGTTTAGGGTTTAGGGTATAGGGAGGCTTCGAAATGTCCTTACCAATGCCAGCTGGGACTCCGAACTGTTGATGGATCAGAAGTGGGTGGTAGAAAGCCCCATGTAGTTGGGTAGGGTGTAAGATAGTATAGCCAAACCTCGAATATGCCCCTGTGGAGAGTATGCTTGGTACTGTATGTCGTTCGATGTAGTTACAACCGCACTTTATTTACGAACTATCTTCGATGTACGCTGGAATTCAAGCCAAAAGCCGTGCAGCCATTCATACAGCAATACGCACTCCTCGTGTTGTTTTTTATAATTTCTGTCTGTTTGTTTGTCTGCCTGTAGGATGTTTGTATTTGTGTCTGCAATGTCTGTCTGTATGACTGTGTATTTCTGTATATAATTTCTTACACTCATGTGCATATCCCGGTTCGTGCGCAGAAGCAGTACGTATATAGCACTCACACACAGAGTTGTACGTATGCATAAAAAAGTACACACATATACGTTTAGTGAGTCTGCCAAGAACAGTCATCGTCAACATAGCATCCAAAGGTCAGCTCGGTTTGTCGCTCCCTTAGCCAAAAACGCCATGTGCAGGATACGCAGGTTGAGCATGAAGAAGCCGCCGTGGATGAGAAGAGTGCGCACAGGTGTCTCCGAAGAAGTTAACCCCAAAACCCTAAAATCTAAGTCTTAAAGCCCGAACACCCTAGCCTCTTCAAGGCCTAAAGCCGTACAGCCCTAAATTTTAAACTAAACCTCAACCGGTTTCGGGCTCAGGGTTTAGAGTTGTGGTTTTTCTGTTCTTGGTTTAGGGTTTTCCGTTGCAAGATTTTGGGGTTAGCCTTAGAGCCAGGAATACTCGGAACAGCCAGCACTAAATCCTACTTCGGGAATCACCGCGCAAAAGTCCCAGAAAGGTTGTTTTTCGGTTTCGATATCCTGCTCGTACCACTGGAGGTCGGGAGGCGACAGTTGAAAGGGGAAAACGAGACAAGACCTCGTCCCCAACGTGGGTTTTGGGTTTACGGTTTAGGGTAAACCTTCTCGCCATGCAAAGCTGAGTAACAGACGATGGCATCGTTACTGGATCGTACCCTTGAACCCCAAAGCCTAATCCCCCTAAGCCCTAATCCTTATAACCTCAAACCCTAATCTCCCTAAACCTTAATCCCTGAACCCTAAACCCTAATCCCTATATCCCTAAAACCTAATCCCAAATCCCTAACCCCTATACCCTGGATCCTAACTCCTGAACCCTCTAAGCACGAGACTGTCTAATTCGACCGTCAAAGTCCTAACTCCAAGGCTGGCGACAGGCCCCGATTTGAAACACGATGTCAAAGGAAGCCTTGGAGGAGTCTTTAAAAACGCGTGTATACTCTGTACATATGCATAATATGCATGTATGTATATATATATATAGATGCACACATATGTGTGTATATATTTATATACATACATTATACACTGTACACATATATGTCTAGATGTAGATAGAACGAAAGAAAGGTAGATAGATAGGTGAATAGATAGATGGATAGATATACACCGTACAAACATAAATATAAATAAGCAAATTAGTCTGTGTGTGTATATACATATATATATATATATATGCATAGAAGACTCTTGAATACAAGCCCTATTGAAAAATGCATTTCAAGGTCGAAAGAGGAGACTTCCGAGACTAGGCCCAAGAGCGATGACACGAAGGACTGCTTCGAGGGACTTTCAGTGCAGGGTTTGCGATGACCAGAGTACCGGGTTTATGGTCTTCTTAAGGCTATGTGGATTTAGGGATGAGGTGTCAGTCTTTGGGAATTAGGCGCTACTTGGAGGGTTATAGCTGCCCTACCCTACCCGTCTCAATCCATGGAGAAGGAGGGGCGGATCCTTCGTTGTCTGTGTTTGTTTTTTAACTTGCCCTCTTTGGAAAGATGGAACGAAGTGACACGATTTGAACAAAAGCAAATGGATCCACCGCTCCCGGTTCTGGGGGGTCGGCAACCACAGGAGGAAGGTTGCAGCCCTCAGCCCACCTTTCCTTTCGAGGGGATCAACTTTCTTCTGCATGTGTTGCGATTGCCTTGGCGACAGTTTCTATGATTGTCATCACTTTTCTCCAAGCTATGGACAAGCAATCTTTCAGGTTCTAAACTAACTTATGTCGGTGATGTCTTCATTTAGCAGGCCGGCAGATCACAACCGTAAGACAACAGATGCCTGTATTAGGGTGTCTGCAAGGCCTTACAGCTATCAGGCATTCCCTTAAATTCGAAGGTGAGTCCTACACTAAGGGTTGTTGGAACCTAGCTAGCTCGGATACTCAAAAATACCATGCGAATAAGAATCTATCGGAGCCTCAGCTCCTTAAATCAGTACTCCTCTATAGATCAGGGATGATTATGCAAATGCTTTGCAAGGGTTCTTGCACCAAGGTTTTCGGCCCAAAACATGGGTTTTGTAGGGGTGCATCTTGCGAAAAGGACCAAGCCCTGACATCTGCTCCGGCGGAGAAGGTGGAGAGCCTTGAGGAGGACCAGAAGGAGAAGGTGGAGAACCTTGAGGAGGAGGACCAGAAGGTGGGGTGGTCTTAACCCTAAGGCGCAGGGTCTGGGCCGAGAAGTTTTGGGTATAAGATGGTATATAAGGTTTAGGGTTTCTGGGAGAAAGCTTTGAGGACCAACATGAGTTTGTTTTAACCTGGCGGCTACCTTATGAAAACGCGTTTCTGAAGTTCAGAGTCTTATAGTGTTTAGCTGATTTTCTGAAACTCCCTGGTAGCCACAATAACTTGCGCGACTTAGTAAGTGGGTTACATGTCGCGATATCGGTACCCTCATTGGTGTTCTCCTCACCAAAACCTACCTTTTAGCCGACTTACTACTTGCAAACTCACCTGACCGTTTCAGGAAAGCCTAAAACCCTAAAAGCCCCGATCAAAGCTAAAAGCCATACCGTCAGAATCACCCTGACCTCCAAACTCTAAACCCAAAGAGCGGACACCATACCTTCAAGGTCCCTTCGGTCCTCAGGGGAGGTGTGCGGGAAGTCTCGGAGGCTTGGGACGTAAACTCGAGACCATGGTAAAGTACCTTGGGGGTTTAGGGTTTAGGGTTCTACTGAGCTACCTTATACAGACCAAACTGCAGCTCTGAATTTCGAGCCCCTACTGCATCACACAAGGGACTAAGAACATCTAAGAACCAGCTGTCTTACATCGGAGCTGTACCCTAAACGCTGAATCGTACGGCCTTGGATTGTTGAACGAATCTTCCTTAAACAGGAGGGTGTCCTCGAACCCCATAAAACTGGATGGACACCCACCGCAGAGGCCCCAGACGCTAAAGCCCAAGCCCTAAACCACCCTGAACCCCGTAAACCCCATACCCCAAATCCTCAACCCTATAATATAGGGGCCGAAACACTTTCCGAGACTCTTTTGGGGCTTCCTGCGAGCTGTAGTAGAATATGTCCTCAAAGGCCCCCAAAAGTAGACCCTTATAGTAGCCCATATAGAAAACGAACCCATTATTTATATTTAAAGGAACCCCATTCCAGTCTTTAAGGCCCCTATATGTTCCTTGAAGGCGGAGGCGCAGGAGGCCCCAAAGTCCCCGACTCCGGAAGACGAGGCCTCGAGGGCTCTTCGAAGGAGTTTAGGGTTTTGGGGTTTTAGGGTTTAGGGTTTACAGGGTTTATAGGGTTTATACGGTTTAGGGTATAGGGTTTAGGGTTTAGGGGTTAGGGTGTAGGGTTTTGGGCATAGGGTTTCGGGTTTGACTGTGTTTCCCAGGCGCCTTCCAGGGGTTTAGGGCTTTAGGGTTTCGGTGTTTAGGGCTTTAGGGTTTTAGTCTATTGGGTTTAGGGGTATAGAGGTTAAGGTTCAGGATCTGGGACTTCAAGGAGGGTTTCTTACTTATTTTCATAAAGGTACGGTTGGTGATATAAATCCTGCATTACCCATAATAAGGCATATATCATAATTCCCATAGTGTGGGGCCCTATTAAGGCAATGTAAGATTTATATCACACAAAGTAGGACACTGTTTTTCGCGCCATCTTGGTATTGTGGAGGAACCCAAGTGCACGGTAACTCCCGCTGTACACATGGGAGGTTTTGGCGTTTTGGCTCGTTACCCAAACAGACCCCAGCTACGCCCTCGTTCAAGGTATGTTGTTCTTCACCCTCTGGAAGGTTCATGGGTAGTTGGAACGTCCCTAAACCCTAAACCCTAAACCCTAAACCCTAACCCCTAAACCCTAAACCGTATGGGGGGACATAAACCCCCCACGTATAATTACCCATGAGGCTCCCAGTAGTGGCTTCGCGGCTCAAGGCCCCGGCCCTGTCGGTTGAAACGGCGGAGGGTGCAGCTGCTGCAGACGAAAAAGCAAAGGACACTTCAGGGTTGCGCCTGGGGGATTGGAGTTTAAGATTTTCGGTTTGGGTTGCGGTGGGAATAGGTACAGTAGTGCTGGGTTCGGCTTGGGTTTGTCAGCTGGGGCTTTCCGTGAGTTTTGAAAGTTTTGTAAGGTCAAAAAGGGCCTTACGGATTAGAATAGGGTTCCGGGTCGATTATAGTGCACGTATATTGGCTCTAAAAGGGCGGATGCCCATTCTGGTGGGGCCATGGGTTGATGCAGGTGTATACGGATTTGTTGCGTCGACTCTTGAAACATCAGCCCAGGTAACCTGTGGCCGCGAGACGTGAGGCCCAAATGCCTAAACCTCGATCCAAAAAATCCCCAACCGGTAAAAAGAGCGTTTACAAGCACCAGAAGTAGCCTCCGAGTATAAACCACGAGGATCGTGAGTACTTATGCAACGGACAGCTGCACCAAGCATGCTTAGACTTCCTAGCTGTCAGTACCTAAACCCTATAGAGACTAAAACGTTGAAACCTGAGGTCACAACCCCGCCATAATGTGAGCATGAAAGCTAAAGTTCTCAGTGGTGCCCGTATGTTTTTTGCGTGTTCAGCTCTCTTTCTTAAACCCCTAAAGTGGGAACGAGGAAACCCGGGCTCGAGGCTTGATTGCTGCTTTCAGAAACCGATTTCCGAAACCCTTTGAGAACCCTACTCCTCATCCCGAAGCTGGTGTTAAACCCTAGGCCCGCCTCAACTCCCTTACAAGCCTAAACTGCCTAAACCCTAAAGCCCGCTAAAAACCCTCGACCTCCCTCACAAGCCTAAACCCTAAACCCCGAAACCCTGAAGCCCTCTAAAACCCTCAGCCTCCCTTACAAGCCTAAACCCTAAACCCCCAAACCCCTTGTAGACCCAAAGAACCCATTTCAGCCGTGGAGGAGCCCGCTGATTCTGAGGGAGCAAAGGTTGCGTCAGTTCCGTGAAGAGTTTAGGGTTTAGGATTTAGGGTTTAGGGTCTAGGGCTTGTTTAGGGCTCCCATACTCTGCAGAATAGAGGGTTGTGACTCCTTATTTAGAGGGTAGAGCCTTTAAAAAACGACAGTCTTTTGGATCCCCAACTAGGGTTCCCATACTCTGCAAAATAGTAGGTTATGACCCCTTAATTAGCGGGTAGAGCCCTTAAAACGATAGGTTTTTGGATCCCCAGGTGGGGTTCCCATACTCTACCGGCGTAGGGTCTGTGATTCAGACTCTTGTGGATTCAGGGCATTTAGGGCATTTAGGGTTTAGGTTCAGGGTACTTGAGGTGCCTAGCTATTTAGGACGTTTGCGGTTTCGGGGGTTTGTGGGTTCGGTGTATATCGGGAACCTGACAAAGTTAACGATGTCCGGAAGCAGAGGGCAAGGTGAGAGGTCTTCCGGACGTAGCAGATCCTTACCCTCGGCCTTAAACTGAACCCAGTGTCTCTGTGGTTATTTAATAATGATGTTTAATGGATGCTAGTGGATTTAGCAGACCTGTCAGTACGATTGTGTTTTTCTTAGCTTCCCTTGGTTAGCATTGAGACCCTGAAAACTCGAGTCTCTTTACGGAGGTCTTGCTCTTTGGGAGACGCTTAGGCGTTCAGGTTTAGAACGTGGGACTAGGGCTTAGGGCTTATGTCCAAGATGCGTAACTTTGTGACCCGAGTCTTAGCAGGCATTTAAAGTATGTATAAATGCAAGCCCACGTCGAATTGCCAACGTGGCGACGGTGAGGGCTCACATCCACATGTACTGTAGCTCATGCAGACGTGGCTGATTTGCAAACTCTGAACCCAGGGCCTTACATGCTTAGCACAGGTCGATTCTCTACTTTAGGGTTCGGGCTGCAGCCCGGCATGTACCCGACGGGCCAAAGGGCTTCCACCTTGGACACAGACCTTGCTTACTTCGATCGTTTCACAGACCTTGCTCTGTTCGATTGTCTTGAACAGGCTGGCTCTGAAATGACTGCCATCTTGTGGCCTGTTTTAGGGGTTCCTCGTGTTCTCAAGCTCCCGTGTGCTGAGCCTCAAGGGTTAAGGGTTCCAGGTGTTTCTCTTAATACTCCTAGGGTTTGGGCTAGGAGTAGACATCTTCCATGATTCAGCCCTTGCGTGTAGATCCACCGGCTTCGAAAGACGTCGACTTAGGGTTTAGGGTTCAGATTTCAGGGCTTGCAGGCTAACCAATGTGTGAATAATGACTGCTGACTTCGAGAGCTGTCGATTGGATTTCAGAGTCCATCTTGGGTTGCTGCAGGAACGTCTAAACCCTTCAGAAACCTCCCAAGACTGAATTGTTCAACCCCACCCCACCCCCCCCCCCCCACCCCACCCCCCCCCACCCCCCCCCACC